AGCCAGGCCACTCATGCATTGTCCAGTAACAATGGAGGCCAGTGATAACTGAACACCTATGGCACGTGTGGGCTTGGTTCCTGACACTTGGCGTAGATAAACTCATTTGATTTTCGCAGCAATCCTATGAGAGCCTGTTGCACCTTCATTTGTTGGAAGGGGGAGACCGAGGCACTTGGCAAAGTCATAGGCAGAGCTCTGACCTGGCCATCATAGCCACTGGCCTGCCCTGCTCCTCTAGGGCTGCTGGACATGGCAGTGGGTGTCGCAGAGATGTGCCCTGCCCTGCTCCCAGATGCAGGCAGCACCCTGGGGCCTCGAGGGGCAGGACTGAGATGAGGTGGAAGATGAGGAGGCAGGCTGCTGCTGGAAGTTGAGACGCCCATTCAAGCAGCTGAGCTGACTCTGGAAAGGTGGTGAGGGTCCATCTGTGAGGCTGTCCCAGGGCTGGGGTTGTGGACAGGCCACTTCCCACCCGGAGACTGAGGGCGGGAAGAGTAACCTCCTAGGTCTCCTTGGGGTATCCCCAGAGTGCACAGGGCATCTGCAGCTGGACACATAGATGACAGCTGGCCCCTTCTCCCAGTCAGAGGATGCAGGTACCTGCGGCCGTCCCAGAGCTGAGGACACCGGAAATCAGGCGTTGAGAGGCAGGCGGGGAAGGGGCCAGTGGATGGCAGAGAGGAAGTGGCTGTCAGGGCATGAGCTGTCTGCACCACAGAGGAGACTGGCAGGGGCCAACCCAGGACACCCCCAGGCTGAGCTAGGACCCTGGTCAGCGCAGGCGAACTCAGGACCACGGAGAGCTCCACGGGCGCCTCCTGTTGCCTGGTGACAGCTGTCAGTGTGGGTCCCTCTGCCGGCCCCTCCCCAGCCTGTGGTTCTCCAGGAGCAGCTCTCCTCTCTGTTCAGGAATCCCCGGCGGGACTCAGCCTGAGCCCTGCCACCGAGGTCCTGGCTGGCCATGGAGCTCAGGCTCCCCAGCTTCCCTCCCTCACCCCATCTTTCGAACAGAGCCCTAGGAAGACAGGCACACGGAAGGAAAGGGAGATGCTCCGGGCATGGCTCCCACCCGGGCCATGGACTGCCTGGCAGGCAGGACACACCTGGCCTTCCCCCCGTCACCCACTCAGAAGACCCATGGCTTTAGCCCACAGTGGGACCACCTGTACTATGGAGAGATGCAGCGGTTTCAGCCACAGTAAGGGAGGGAGGCGCTGGCTCGGGAACTAGAGCTTAAGTTCAAGACCTGACTCAGCCACTTCCTTAATGTCCTCTGGGAAAGTCTTGCCATCTTTCTGAGTCTCAGTTTCCCCATCTGTAAAATCAGGCAGTTGCAGTGACCTCCCAGTGGTTGAGAGATTTGAATGAGATCCTGGTATTTATTTGAGCTTACTTATGCCGCCTCAGTCATAAAATGTTTATAAAGGACCAAAATAGGTAAAGATAAAAGGGAATTGGGCTTAGAACGAAAACTCCTGAAAAAATGCATGCGAGTAAAGGAGTCCCAGATGACCTGTGAGGTCCTGATGACTTGCTTTGGACCAACCACCATTGGCTTCTGAGCCTCCTCGTAGCCTGAGCGACAAGGGAAACGTTCAATTCCAGGATTCTCAGCAGCAAAACAGACTGAGGCCTTATGGAGGGCCCCAGTAAGTCAAGGGGCAGATCCCAGGAACTGGTGAATCTGTCCTCCGAATGGCACAACAACTGGGTGTAACCAGATCCTGAAGGCCAGCCCGGCCCAGTAGCTGGGTCAGCCTGACCTCATGGGTTCCAGCAGGGCATTCCATGCCTCTCTGAGTTTCTCTTACCTTGCTGAGGCCTTTGTTTGCTGCTGTGAGGGAATTAGCCTGAGCAGCAGCCCCAGGCTCGGCCCTCCCCAGTTCAGCCAAGGACTGCGGTTGGGGTGTGCCACACAGGGCAGGTCCCAAGTAGACATCAAACGTGATCCGCACCTTATGGCCCTGTAGCGTCCAGCCTTGAGCACTGAGAACACAGCATACTGAGCACCAGTGCACACCAGGAGGTCTACATGACGAAACCGAGGCTCAGGATGAACCTTGCTTAAGGTCGCGTCGTTTGAAGTTCAGTGTGGAACTTGCCATTTTGCCCTGCTGTCCTTACAGGAGGTGAGGGCGAGAGTATGGCAGGAGAGTGGCCAGATAGCCCAGAGAACAGACCGGAAAAGTAAGAAGCCACAGAAAGGGACATTTTAAGAAAAAAAAAAGATACGCTAGGTGGAAGGACAGGGTCAGACGCCGCCCGCCAGGTCTCCACCCCGCCCTTTTTCTGTGACTCAGTGGGTCCTCCTAGGCTAGTCACGGTGCCACTCAGCCTCACCCAGCTCCAGATAGCCCAGAGAACAGACAGGAAAAGTAAGAAGCCACAGAAAGGGACATTTTAAGAAAAAAAAAAGATACGCTAGGTGGAAGGACAGGGTCAGACGCCGCCCGCCAGGTCTCCACCCCGCCCTTTTTCTGTGACTCAGTGGGTCCTCCTAGGCTAGTCACGGTGCCACTCAGCCTCACCCAGCTCTTGTTTGTTTTAGTCTGCTACAGACTGCATGTACTCTGGAAAGACAGAGAGAGACAGTAAGAAGTCACCCCTCCAGGAGAATGGCCACGCCGCAATCCCTTCTCCAGTCTCCTCTCAAGATTTTGAGTACGCACGCACATGCGCCTGCTGTGGTTTTCAAGCCACCGGGTCTGGAACTCAGACCATGGGGTCAGCCATGTGGGACCCAGCCGCCTTAACCACCATGCCACTGGTCGGCCCCCTCCCAGCTTTTGTTGGGGGGTCACGTGGGTGTAACCTCCTGGCCCACACGCCCACCTCTCGGCTCAAGGACAAAGTGAACTGTGTGGTTGCAGTCAGAGGTGTCCCGCCCGAGCCGCCCGAGCTCGTTAGTAAGGTAGACAGTGCAGCCACATGCAGCTTGGAGGTCAGGTTTGTAGCATGTCAGTGCCAGCTTCCTACTTGTGACACGTGTGCTGTGCGGACATAAAATGTTAACCACGGGGAGACCAGGCAAGATGTATAAGGAACTCTCGGCACTATCTTTCCAACTTTTCTGATAAGTGACAACTATTCTAAAATTAAAAGTTTTTTTTTTTTTTAGGGCTAGCAGGTGGTACACAGGTTAAGGAGGCTAGATCCCATGTGATCAACTGCACAGTTCAAGTCCCAGACCTGGCGGCCTGAAGATCACACCAGGTGCATGTGTGTGCATGGCCAAAATCCCAAAAGGAGAATGAAGACGGGATTGTGGCATGGCCATCCCATCCCCCTGGGGGGGGGGATTTCTCACTTTCCTTCCCTCTCTCTGCCTCTGTCTCTGGTGAATGCACATGCCCTAGAGCAAAACTTTAAAAAAAAAAAAAGTTTATCGGACTAGCAGGTAGCATGCTGGTTAAGATGCTGGACATTCCCACATGGTCAACCACAGTTCGAGTCCCGGACCTGGCGGCTTGCTTTCTCACTTTCCCTTCCTCTCTCTGTGTCTCTCTCTGGTCAAACTAAAATAAATGGATGAATAAATAAAATTAAATAATTATTTTTAAAAAAATTTTAAGTCAGAAAAAATATATACAAGTATCTCCATTTTACAGCCACAAATTAATTGAATTGATCAAATAAATGAATAGCAAATGGTTGCATTATGACTCACTCATGAATAGACAGTAATTCATTCAACATAACCATGAAATAGTATGTGAGATTTAAAAGGAAATAGTAGGTTTCTTCTGCTATGAAAAATTGTTTAGATCTGCCATTGATTGAGAAAAACTATTTGAGGGACCAGCAGATAGTGTAATGGTTATTATGTCCATTGCTGGACTCCCATGTAGGGGACCACAGTTTGAGTCCTAGACCTGGTGGCTTAAAACTCAAGCCAGGTGCCTGTGCATGCCCAAAATCCCAAGAAGAGAATAGAGGAGAAGGGATTGCAGCATGGTCATCCCCCCAGGGGGTGATTTCTTGCTTTCTGTCTCTCTGTCTCTCTCTGTCTGGTGAGTGCATGTGCCCTATAGCAAAAGATCTCTCTCTCTCTAAAAAAAAAAGAAAAAAGAAAAAAAAGAAAAAACTTAGTGTCAATACAATATTTGTGAAAATACTAAACGAAGAATAGAAAAGCTGCATGTAACACCAGCGATATGTCTCAATTTTGTTATACGTAGAAATCCTGCTTGTATAGGGCATGGGGAACTGGAGGGCAATTCAGTTTTATTCTTTAAATATGTCAGAATTGCCAGGACAACATGGGAGGCCTGGGTTTGATCCTAGTCCAACCTAAATGCCTGGCAGAGTGGTATGCACCTCTAATTCCAGTGATTTGAGAAGCTGAGGCAGGAGGGTCATCAGTGTGAAGCCGGCCTAGGCAGCATAGTAACATAGTAAAATCCTGTCCAGAAAAAGAAAGCTGGGGTCAGTGGGGCTCATAGTCCCGGCTGGGAGGCTTAGGCGGGAGAGTGGTGATAGTGAGACAATACATCTTTAACAGTTGGAATGAAGTGTGTATCTCTTTGAGATCTGTGATTTTTTTTTTTTTTTTTCAGTGAAAACCTTCAGAAGATGGGTCAGTATGCCCACAGTAAAGATGGCTAAGCTGGGGAAAGCCCCCGGGCAGCCTGCTCTAGCCTTCCTCCAGGACGGGAGCCCCTGGGCCAGGGCCCGCACTGTGGTGCTGTTTTCCCAGGATGCAGCTTGTTGGGGGAAGCCGAGCAATGCAGCTAGTATGGTCAGGGAGGGGTGGGCTGGGCCAGGCAGAGGAGCAGGCTGCAGAGGGGGGTTGTAAGGAGCCCATGGTCTCCCAGGGAAGGGCAGAGGCTTCCAGGGAACATGCTGTGGCAAGTTGATGCTTAGAAGGCAGATGGTGACAACAGGCAGTGACGGCAGGACATTTTCAAACAAGGTGGCAGCGAAGGCTGCAGCAGGTCCCCCCTTTCTGGAAGAGCCTCGGGCTGTCCCTGACCCGTCTGCTCTCTCCTTCTTCCCAGCAGGATGAAGATGAGACGCTACAAGCTCTTTCTCATGTTCTGTATGGCCGGCCTGTGCCTCATCTCTTTCCTGCACTTTTTTAAGACCCTGTCCTATGTCACCTTCCCCCGAGAGCTGGCCTCCCTCAGCCCTAACCTCGTGTCCAGCTTCTTCTGGAACAATGCCCCTGTCACTCCCCAGGCCAGCCCTGAGCCAGGTGGCCCTGACCTGCTGCGGACCCCACTCTACTCCCACTCACCCCTGCTCCAGCCTCTGTCACCAAGCAAGGCCACAGAGGAACTTCACCGAATGGACTTCGTGCTGCCCGAAGACACCACCGAGTATTTCGTGCGCACCAAAGCCGGGGGCGTCTGCTTCAAACCAGGTACCAAGATGCTGGAGAAGCCGCCGTCGGGGCGGCCCGAGGAGAAGCCGGAAGTGTCCGACGGTTCGGCGGCCAGGCACCTGCCCCGGCACCTGCTGAGCACCCGGGAGCGCGCTGGCAGCCGGGGCGCGCGGCGGAAGTGGGTAGAGTGCGTGTGCCTGCCCGGGTGGCACGGGCCCAGCTGCGGGGTGCCCACCGTGGTGCAGTACTCCAACCTGCCCACCAAGGAGCGCCTGGTGCCCAGGGAGGTGCCGCGCCGCGTCATCAACGCCATCAACATCAACCACGAGTTCGACCTGCTGGACGTGCGCTTCCACGAGCTGGGCGACGTGGTGGACGCCTTCGTGGTGTGCGAGTCCAACTTCACGGCCTACGGCGAGCCGCGGCCGCTCAAGTTCCGCGAGATGCTGACCAACGGCACCTTCGAGTACATCCGCCACAAGGTGCTCTACGTCTTCCTGGACCACTTCCCGCCCGGCGGCCGGCAGGACGGCTGGATCGCCGACGACTACCTGCGCACCTTCCTGACCCAGGACGGCGTCTCGCGGCTGCGCAACCTGCGGCCGGACGACGTCTTCATCATCGACGACGCCGACGAGATCCCGGCCCGCGACGGCGTGCTCTTCCTGAAGCTCTACGACGGCTGGACCGAGCCCTTCGCCTTCCACATGCGCAAGTCACTCTACGGCTTCTTCTGGAAGCAGCCGGGCACCCTGGAGGTGGTGTCGGGCTGCACGGTGGACATGCTGCAGGCCGTGTACGGGCTGGACGGCATCCGCCTGCGCCGCCGCCAGTACTACACCATGCCCAACTTCAGGCAGTACGAGAACCGCACGGGCCACATCCTGGTGCAGTGGTCGCTGGGCAGCCCCCTGCACTTTGCCGGCTGGCACTGCTCCTGGTGCTTCACGCCGGAGGGGATCTACTTCAAGCTCGTGTCGGCCCAGAATGGCGACTTCCCCCGCTGGGGTGACTACGAGGACAAGCGGGACCTCAATTACATCCGGAGCTTGATTCGCACGGGGGGCTGGTTCGACGCAGGACTCCCCGCCGGCAGACCCCAGCGAACACATGTATGCCCCCAAATACCTGCTCAAGAACTACAACCAGTTCCGCTACCTGCTGGACAACCCCTACCAGCAGCCTAAGAGCACAGCAGAAGGTGGCGGGCATAGGAACAAAGGTCCCGAGGGAAGGTCACCTGCCCTGGGCGCGTCAGACGCCAGGGACGGCTAAGGCTGCGAGATCTTACAGGGCCTGAGGCGGGCCAGGCTGGCGGCTACTCTGGATAGCTTCCTGTAGCCGTCTGCTGCCCCATGGTGGTTCTTGAGTAGGTAGGTGGGTGGGATCTGCCCTACTCCGGCCCTTTGGAAGCAAGGGTCAGCCTCTGAGCTTAAAAAAAAAAAAGGAAAGAAAGAAAGAAAAGAGAAAGGCTTTCTGTCGTAAGAGGGGAGCAGGCCCAGTGCAGTCCCCATGAGAGTGCTATGCCCAGGAGTGCCCCTGGAGATGCCCGATGGTTACTGAGTGGCCAGGGAGTGCAGGTGGGCGGGGAGCTCTCCAGGGTAGCCATGTGGTGGCCATGCAGGGAGAAGCCTGCCACTTGGCATCTTGGGCTTTGGACCTGCAGTGGGAAAGGGAAATGCCAGGAGGGCTTGGGCTCTGTAAATAGACGCACTTGGGACCAGGAGGAAGCGGGCACACCTGGGGGAGAGGATGGAAAAAGGCATCTGGCTGAGGGCAGTGCTGGCGGAGGCTCTGCAGAGTGCTCAGAAGTGCTGGGATGGAGGGGGATGAGCGCTCCGTTGCCCGCCCACGGGACCCCACCGTGCTGCAAGGATGGTGCCTGAGTGTCTCTGTGTTCCCCCAACCCTTGTGAGCTGACAGGTCTGGAGGTCCTTGGGAAGTCTTCCTTTTGGTTCCAAGCCTGGCCTTGATGCTCCTTGTTTTTATATAGCTGTCTTGTGGCCACCCATGCAGGCCTTGCAAGACCAGAAGCCAGTGACCAGGGTGGGTGGAAGCAAGATGTACCAATGGCCAGTTTAGATGGGCTTGGGGGAGGGGGAGACCAACAGAGGCCTCGGCATCGTTCCACTTCTTCCTGCCCATCGCCCCTTCCTCCGGCACCCCCAGCCCCAGGTGGAATCACCCTTGTGCCCCTCGTTGGGGCTGGCTAGGGACCCAGAAGGGACTGTGAGGCTGCCCTGGACCCAAGAAAGGACTTTATGGCCAGCTATATGCCATCTCATTCCTCTTAGTTTGCCTTATGGGGATGGAAGATGTGGTTTTGGAGTAAATTCTAAACTGCTATAAATAAGAGACCCAAAAATGCAGTGGTTTAGTCAAAACAGAAGCTTGTTTCTAATTCAGTTGTCTAGCGGGAGATGGTCCGGAACGAGTCGGTCAGCTCTGCTTTCCTTTCAGTTGTGGGTACAGAGTAGCTTCTCTAGCTCCCACCATCATGCGTCCATCCAAGCCTGAAGGAAACAGAGAAGGGTAAGGGAGGCCATACCCTTTCCTATTATTGGCATGAGCCAGAAATGGCCTTATCACTTCTGATGGCATTTCATTGGCCAAAACTTAATCACATGGCCACATGTAGCTGCAAGGGAAACTGGGAAATGTAGTCTTCAGGTGGGCTGCCATGTGCCTGGCCTCTACTTGGGAGTTCTCTTGTTAATGAAGGAGAAGAGAATGGGCGTGGAGGACAAGAAGCATCCCTGGCACAGGGGCAGAAGGAGGTGGGGAGAAAGGATTGTTCAGCCATAGGATCCTACTCTGTTCAGAGCTTCTGGAGCAGCCTGCACCTGCTCTTTCATTGTGCCAGCCCAGGGCTGGGGTGCAGTGGGAGCGTGCAGCCAGGTGGGAGGGATGAAATGCCCCTCTCCTAGGCCCCCGTGGTGCCAGTGAGCAGAGCCTGCCTGTGGAATGGTACATGTCGTGCGTGTGTGTATATTTATGGGCATGGGTGCATGCTTGGTGTGTATTTGTACCTGTCTGTATTGATGTGTCCCTTTAAATACCTGCTTGTGTGTGGATGGGGGTGCCCAGGCCCAGGTGTCCTCGTCCCCAGAACCTGGAGCCTGTGGCAGCACCTGCAGCTCCCCAGAATGAGGCAGAAAGCCCCTGGGGAGTTTAGAAAACGAGGCTAAAGGGGATACAGAGTCTGTCTGTCTGTCCGTCTTTCAGTCCGAGGAATGAGAATCCTCCCGCCCTGAGGGCTGTCTAGGTGAGAGCCCGCTACCTCCCCAGCCCCTCTTGGCCCCATTCCCACCCCCCACCCCAGCAGGTCTTTTCCTGGACGCCTTATTGGGTTCCTGCTGGGTCAGGAGAGATCTCCTTCAGCACAGCTCTGCCTAAGGGACGTGCCTAACACGGCCCTGGCATGGGGAGCTGGCTCAGAGCAGCCTCTGCAGGAGTCATGACCCAGGCCGAGGGGCTCTGTGGCCCCGAGTTCCCTCTCACCCGGGGCATGCCCCCCGAGGGAATCCCTCTTTGGTTGCTCTTAGGACTGAGAGGGTGTCCCCAGGCTCTGGGGTAGTCCAGGCCTGTGTTGCCTCTCCTTACCTGTGGACAGGCGGTCACTGGGGCTCCTGAGTCATACTTAAAACCAGGCCCGGGGCTTCCTCACCTTGGTGGCATCCTCACCCCGTGCTGCAGCCCCTCAGCTGTTAGAGGGATGTCCCCTCCGCAGTCTGGCAGGGCTCCCTGCCTCTAGTTCACCAGCTCAGTGGTTGGGGGGTGGGAAGAAAGACCGGAGAAGCTGGGACCTGCCAGGCCCCTCCCCTCTCACCCAGCAGGAGCAGCACAGTGGAGACCTGACCCCTGGGCAGCTGTCAGAGGGGCAGGCCCAAGGCATGGGCTTGAAGAGTTTGACATATAATCACAGCATACACTGGGAATTGGGGGCCGGGGGAGCCCAGGACCACTCCCCCATTAGGAAGGGAAACCAGACTGAATGTGAAGGCCAAGGGCACACTACTGCCCGGTCGCCAGACCAGATTTTTGTTCCCAGAAACCTCTGACTTCTTGACCTCTGACCCAAGGAGGCCTGACTGCGCAAGCATCCAGGGAGCGTGGCTGGCCCTGCCCACCCCCAGGTGGCATTGGTCCCGGACAGGGGAGAACTTTGGGGGCAAAGATGAGAGTCGGGGTAGGGAGACAGGACTTGCCCAAGCAGAAGGCAGAGCCCTGGGAACTGTATAATTTAAGGACACTGGTAATAATAATAATAATAGTATTATTTTTTTTGTAAGGGAAAAATCAATATGTACATTCTGAAATCATTTTCTCTGTAAATGGTTGGATTTCATTTCACCCTTAAAGGGATGCTTAAAGGAGAAGATAATATTAATAATAAAAACAGCAACAAACTCTGACTGCATGTGTGGCCAGTCCGTGGGTGTTCCGGGCAGGGAGGGGTGGGGCAGGTAGCTTGGGTCTTGGCTAAAGATGCCTTTGGAACCAGCAGTTAGCATAAGGGCTATGTCGCTGAACTCCCATGTAGCCGACTGCGGTTCAAGTCCCGGACCCAGTGGCTTAAACTCATGCCAGGCGCATGTGCGTGTGTGCCCAAGATCCCAAGAGGAGAATGGAGGAGAAGGGATTGCGGCATGACCATCCCCCCCGGGGGAGTGATTTCTCAGACAGAGACATAGAGACAGAAAGCGAGAAATCACCCCCCAGGGGGGATGGTCATGCCGCAATCCCTTCTCCTCCATTCTCCTCTCGGGATCTTGGGCACGCACACACACGCGCCTGGCGTGAGTTTTAAGCCACTGGGTCTGGGACGCGAACCGCAGTCGACTACGTGGGAGTCCAGCGACATAGCCATTACGCTAACTGCTGGTTCCCTCTCTCTGTCTTTCTGAGGAGTGCACATGCCCTATAGGAAAAACCTCTCAAAAAAAAAAAAAAAAAAGATCCTTCGCTGCCGAGTCTGGATCACTGGGGTGCGAGACCTTCCCAAGAGCGGAAGAGCTGGTGGGGAGGAGGGGACACACCGACCTCCTCCGTCGCTTAGGGATGCAGTTGCCCCTAGCCAGGGAGCATGCTTCCCTCCCACAGGTGGAAGCGGGAATGAAGACGTCTGGCAGAAGGAAGGAAGAATGAGCCTGGCTCATTATGGCCTGGTGGTGCCCACATGGCAGAGCGGGGGTTTGCCCAACAGCAGAAGTTGAACTTTTCTTTATTATAGAATTTTTTCATTTTACTCATTGTCATTATTTTTATTTTTTTTGAAATTGACCAGAGACAGGCAGAGAGAGAGAGAAGGAAAGTGAGAAAGAAAGCTGCCAGATCTGAGACTCGAACCATGGTCAGCCATGTGGAAGTCCAGCCACCTTAACCACCACTCCACCTGCTGGCCCCTTTCCCACTGCAGTTCCAAAGCCCAAGATGCCAAGTGGCAGGCTTCTCCCTGCATGGCCACCACATGGCTACCCTGGTGAGCTCCCCACCCACCTGCTCTCCCTGGCCACTCAGGCATCTCCGGTGGTACCTCCTGGCCATAGCACTCTCACGGGGATGGCACAGAGGTCTGGGCCTGCTCTCTTAGGACAGAAAGGGACACATGTGCCTGCTTGATCCTGACATGGATCATAGGCAGGATGGGACAATACAAGGAACAGCCATGCAGCCAGCACAGGGGCACCCTTGGCACAACCTCGGCTGCCCCCATCATACCTTCCAGTTATCCCTTCGGTCAGCTCCCTCACCTGGTCCTTGTTGGGAAGAGGGACATCTTCATAAGACAGACTTCCGGGGTGATCGTGAGGCGGCTGAGAGCTTGGAGCAGAGCCCGAACCATGGCAAGAGCGTCAGGAGTGTGTGAGGGATCAGCATTACAACCCCCTCCCCACCCCCAAGCTCCTTTGTGGTGCGAGTGACACATGGGTCACGCATTCCTTCTTTGGCGCCTTCCCTTAGCCTCTGTGACTCATGAGTCACAAGACTCCCTTCCTCCTCCCTCTCTGGGGTTCCTTGGTTGCCTCCCTGAGCTCCTTTTCCCCACATCCCTTCAGGAAGGAGGCTCCAGGGCCCAGGACTGGGCCCCACAGTTCTGCTGCAGTGCTCCACTTTTACCAAGGTGGGGCTGGGAGTCTCTCCCAAGCACCTGTCCTTGAAAGACTGGACAGACAGAGGAGAAAGGATTGTGATGTGACCATGCCCCATGGGGGTCCTCTTCCCGGTCTCTGCACATACCCTCTTGCAATTTTTTTTTTAAGAGAAATTTTTGCTGTAGGGCGTGTGCACTTGCTGGAAAGAGAGAGAGACAGAGACAGAGAGACAGAAGCAAGAAATCACCCCACCAGGGATGATGGCCATGCCACAATCCCTTCTCCATTCTCCTCTTGGGATCTTCAGCATACACGCACATGTGCCTGGAGTGAGTTTAAGTTGCTGGGTCCAGGACCTGAACCACAGTAGACTACATGGGAGTCCAGTGATGTACCCATTATGCCATCTGCTGGTCCCAACAAATTTTTTTTTAAAGTAACTTCTCCAGGCCAGCAGGTGGTGCAATGGCTAAGAGTGCTGGACTCCCACATGGTTGACCATGGTTCAAGTCCTGGAGCTGGCAGTTTGCTTTCTCACTTTCTCTCTCTCTCTCTCTCCCTCTCTCTCTCTCTCTTTCTCTCTCTCTCTCCTTCTCTAGTCAAATGAAAAACAAATGAAGTTAAGTAAAAATAAACCTTTTTTTAAAAAAGGTAACTTCTGGGGACCAGCAGATAACGTAATGGCTACGTTGCTGGACTCCCATGTAGTTGACTGTGGTTTGAGTCCCAGACCCAGTGGCTTAAACTCACACAGGTATGTGTGTTTGTGTGCCCAAGATCCCAAGAGGAGAATGGAGGAGAAGGGATTGCGGCACGGCCATCCCCCCTGGGGGGGTGGTTTCTTGCTTTCTGTCTCTCTGTCTCTCTGGCAAGGGCACACGTCCTATGGCAAAAACCTCTCTCTCAAAAAAAAAGAGTAACTTCTGGGACCAGCAGTTAGCATAATGGCTATGTCACTGGACACTCATGTAGTCGACTGCAGTTCGAGTCCCGGACCCGGTGGCTTAAAACTCAAGCCGGGCATATGTGCGTGTGTGCTCAAGATCTCGAGAGGAGAATGGAGGAAAAGGGATTGCGGCGTGGCCATCCCCCCTGGGGGGTGACTTCTCACTTTCTGTCTGTCTCTCTTTCTCTGGTGAGCACACAAGCCCTATAGCAAAAACTTCAAAAAAAAAAAAAAAGAAACTTCTGAAAGAAAAGTTCTGTTCAAGAATGATGGGGGAAAAGAGCTCCCTTCCTTTCACTGGAAAACAAAACAAACCAAAAAAAAAAAAAAAATGAGAGAAGGTAGAACTTCTAGCATGGGGTGCTGTCTGGAGCCTCACCTGCACCCACAGTTAGGATTTTTGGATTATGTGAGGCCATGGGTTCTTATTGTTTTTAAATTTGCTATAGCACATGTACACTCACGGGAGAGAGAGAGAGAGAGAGCGCCCCCCCAGGAGGATGGCCACACTGCAATTCCTTCTCTGTTCTCTTCTTGAGATTTTGGGCAGTTACACACACCTGGCATGTTTTCAAACCAACAGGACAAGGACTTAAACTGTGCAGTTGGCCAGTGGGATCCCACGCCTTAGCCACCACACCACCTGCTGTCCCCTGAGTTCATTCTTTTAAAGACACTGGGTAAGCTTTTCTCGGCTCACACCCTGAAGCGTTCTAACTAGCCGAATGAAAGCTTTCCTTGGTGACCCCGAGCATGCTGTCCTCTTGGCCCAGAGCCTCCTGCCATCACCTTGCACCTCACCCCCACTCTGAGCAGGTGGCCGTTCACCCAGGAGCCACACCGAATGTGTGGTCATTCGCCCACCTGCCCTCCCCACTCCAGGGTTAGGTGCTGAGCCGCTGGGCCCCACTGTGCCTCCAGTGTTGTCACGTTGCCCTTTGCGCATGCTCCTATCACTTCCCCATCAGCGTTTGACCCCCACACTTGGGGCAGACACGCCTTAGCATAACTCAGCAGCTATTTGTGGAATGAGCAAATGCCATTACTAAGCAGAAGTGCTGGGATTTGAACCCAGGGCTGCCTCTAGTGTGCTCCAGGGTCCCACACTTCCCTGATAGTCTGATCTCTCTCACGGATGCCCCAATTACCAACCTTCAGGCTGGGGCCCTGCTCACCCATGGGCAGTACCTATGTACTCAATGGCCCTAGCTTTCTCCTCTGCCAGGCGGGGCCCATAGACTGGTTACACCCTGGTTATGGGCCCAACCGGCCCAGACCCGCCCCTCCTGTTGAACACCACATTGGTGCAGTCCTGGTGGCGTCATCGGGACTGCCATGCCACGCTGCCTTTCTAAACATCCAGCAGCCCTCACGCCGGGCCCAGGGAGGACACGCAACCATTTAGAAGGTTGCACCGGGCAAGGCCACGCCCTCATCCACACGGCTGTCCATCAGGTTTTCAAAAATAACAGTAGGAGCCCAGCAGGTGGCATAGCGATTAAGGTGCTGGGCTCCTACGTGGCCTACTGGGGTGTGAGTCCCAGACCCGGTGGCTTGAAATTCACACTGGGCACGTGTGTGTGTGTGCCCCTCCAGTGAGCACCTGTGTCCTATAGCAAAACTCTCCAACAGTCATCTCTACTTCCTGCATCTGCCCCAGCTGGTTGGTCCATTGTCCTTCCAATCACTGAATTTCTAGACTCTTCTCCATGTGGTCCTGCTAACGTCATCCACCCTAGGGTGCAGGTGGGAGTTTGGGGGCATGGAGAAGACACCGCATTCTTGAGACCTGCAGGAGTCGGCAGATTTCCTAACCCAGCAGTCCAGTGCACTGTGACCACGTCCCATGGGTTCCATACTGTCGCAAAGGGTCCGCGTGCTCACCAGCGCGCAGAGCGATCGCGTGAGCAAGCTGCTTCGGCTCTCAGGAAGCTCCCACACTCATGCAGTCAGGCCCACGATCTTCGCTCCGTGCTCGTGCATCCTGGGGTCTGACGTCCACCTGCCCTGCCACCATTCGGGGCCACCCCTCGCCTTCTACCTGGATCCGGGCCTCAGTGTCTGGCCGCACATCGTGTGCCTGGCCTGAGGGAGACACACACGTGAACGGACACAGTTTATGGCCTCTAGGAGCCCAGAGTGGTTGGCAAGGGCCAGGTTCCTCGACCTCAGCACCACTCCTCGTGGGCCAGACTCCTCTTGGTTGTGGGGCGTCCTGTGCACTGTGGGGTGTTTAGCAGCATCACTGGCCTCTGACCACTAGATGCCCGTGGGACCCACACACCACACCGAGTGTGACAACCGAACACACCTGCCATTGCTAAGTATCCCTGGGGTGCACAATCACCCCAGTCAAGAGTCCCTGGAGGGGCTGGATGGGAGCGCGGCAGTAAAATATGAGGCTCTGCGAGGCTGATCCTCATGGGAGGTTCTGGGTTCATGTCCAGAGTCCTTCCTGAGTACATGGGGTGCATATACACCCAGGATCTAGGGCCAGTTGGGGCTGGGAGTGGTTCCCAGCATTGAGACCCTGCTGGGGGAGCTGTCTCTCTGTCTCTATCTCTCATTGTCTTGCTTGCTCATGGAAGAAATAAACTTTAAAAAAAAAAAAAGCTCACTGGAGTAGGGAGCACATGCGGGGGCACATCTCGTGCACACGGGCAGGGTACTCTGCAAGATGACCTCACTCAGTCTTACGAGGTGGCTGCTATTTGGTCGAGCGCCAGATTCCCTCCTGTGGGACTGAGTGGCATTTGGAAGGGGCACCCTCCATTCTTCAACCAGTGAGACTGGAGGTGGGAAGTCTAGGATTTAGGGAGATTAGGGCATCTGTCACTGAAAGCTTCCTCACCAGCACTTGGGACCTGGGCCCCAGCACCTTCTCGCTGTGCTGCACTGCCTCCTGGTGGACGGGAGCGCACAGTAAGTGCCTCGGCTGGCTCTCCTGCAGTCCTTGCTCTTCTCACTCTCACTGAACACAAACGCACGCTGCAGAGTGGAAAGCAAATTCGTACAATTAGAGGAACGAGCATTGCAAAGGTGAAAGAAAACCAAGCCTAGGAAAGAACATAAAGAAGGCGATTGCTATGGTCTGGGTGTCTCCCCAAGATTTATGTCAGAACCTGAGTCAGCTGTGAGAGTATTAAAAGGAAACTCATGCAACCAGCAGATGGCATCTTGGTTAAGTGACTGGACTCCCACGGAGTCCACAGCGGTTTAAATCCCAGACCTGGCGACTTAAAACCACGGGCGTGTGAGTGTTGTGTGCCCAAAATCCCAAGAGGAGAATGGAGGAGAAGGGACTGTGGTGTGGCCATGCCCCCTGGGGGGTGATTTCTTACTTTCTGTCTCTTTCTGTTTATCTTGCAAGTGCATGTGCCCTGTATTAAAAATCTTTCTCTAAAAAAAAAGCAAACTCATTGGGTCAGTCAGGTGGTGTGGTGGCTCAGGCAACTGGATCCCACATGGCAAGTCCCAGACCTGGCGGGTTGAAAAACGTGCTGCACACATGTGCATGAGTATCCAGAATCCTGAGAGGAGAACGGAGAAGGTATTATGGTATGACCACCGCCCACCCCCCAGGGGAGGCTTTCTCGCGTTCTGTCTCTCTCTGGCAAGCACACATGTCCTGTACCAAACTTTAAAAAGGAAAAAAAAAAAAAAAAAGGAACTTGTTACCTTTACAGTGTTGAAAGGTGGGGCCTTTGGGAGCAGGAGCAATTACATGATAAGTGAGGCCCTCATTACTGCCTCCTGATGGGCTTATGAGGAAAGGGAACAAGACCAGCGATGCAGACGGACACAGAGACACGAGCTAGTCTCTCACAATACGACACCCTCCCTGCATGGCCTTAAGACACTACCAAGAAAAATCCCCCAGATGTGGT